AGTGTTGGAGTATTTTTGTGGTCAAACACTATTTTACTAATATGGTGGGAATACAGTGTTTAACTAGAGTGTTAATAGATCTGTCTAGGCCATGTAAAAATTGCAGTTTAATGAAGGATGAAATACTATTTTCATAAATATGCTAACTTTCCTTCCTGTATTCTGTTTCCTAAAAGTGCTGTAAAATTTTCTTAAGCTATTGTTGAAATGGAAGAACACTGTCTTTGTTGGAGTAGTAATGTATAGAACCAGTGTAAAAGACTTGTCTGAGGTTGACTGTCCTTATATTTTAATTTTTAGGCAAGGATTAGGTAAAGGCAGACAGTATTCAAGTTCAGTACCTAACATGTATTCATTTGTCCAAGCAAATGAGTATGTTGGATCTGAATTAGTAGCATGAATGCAATCTGTGATCCACAGCTTAAGCATTGCTTTAAATTGCTCTGAAGTCTTCTTAGGCAGATCACATCTTCAGGTAATTTTAATATGTACACTGGTATACAATGACAGGCGTAGATAAATACCAGGACAGCAAAACACGTAAGCAAATTGATTTCTCTATGAATTGACTTAAGGAAGATTGCTATGGCCCAAACTTGCCATTAAAAACCATTGTGAAGTAACATCATACATTATGAGAATGAGATAGGTTATCAACAACCTGTTAACCATAATATGCCTCTGGGGAAGAGGCATAGAGAACAAACCGTGAATGATGTAGCTATGAGTTGGGACACAAAATATATTGCTCATTGGGTAGACAAGCTTTGTTTTATGTGTTATGACATAACTGCTGAGGTTTTAGAGGGCAGATGTCTTGATGTGGAGCGTGTTTGATAATGAAAGCAGAGTGCTTTGCTTAGCTTGTAAGGCTACACAGCACCAAATATTTGATACAGCTAATTATTTTTTCTAGGATATTTTTGGGTTACTTTAGGTGCATTTTTACATCTCCAGACATAAAATGAATGGCTTCAGGCAGTTTATGGACTCGGTGTAAATGCTGTGTTTGTATAGCAATATTACTGATTTAATGTTTTCATAATAATAAGTAGAATACCCTGCAAAGTTGTGTGGATCTTATTGAATTTTAATGGGAGAATTAGATTTTTAGGTATTTGACAACTGAACAAAAATCAGGTAGGCATATCTACATAGGCTGATGCGTTGGAGCATTTTTTTGTTAATGCATTTTTAAATGGAAAAAAATACTGTTTTCCTGCCTAGTTCTAAATCAATCCAATTAGTGGATTAGTCTATGCTACAGAGTATTCAGCTGTAGTTACGAGTTTTTTCAACAACCTTCTGTCAGGGCAAAAAAAAATGTGCCAGTATAGGCACAGTTCTGGCACGTTTTAATAATCTTTTAACTTGTGTAGTTTCTATCTATCCTTTGAGAATTTTCTAGATCGTCAGCACTTTTTGACTGCAGATTGGATAGTATCTAATGAGGTTTTCTCATTGGTGTTTCAGGTGTCAGTCTACTAGTGGAAGTACTAAACTAAATTATGCAGGTAGAAAAAGAAAGCAAGCAAAGAATCAAACTGTGGTTCTTACCATGCAAGGCTGGGAGTATCAACCTGAGTAGTTTCTGATGATTTGCTTTTTAGAGGGTGGGGATGGTATTTAGTGGTTGTTCAGCAATGCTCTATTCTTCTAAAAAATGTGATGTAGCTCTGTCACTGAAGTTGATTGTGAACTTCAGATTGGCTCAGTTTTATATAGATTTTTTTTCTTGCTTGCTGTGAACATTTAATAGTATTTTGGATCTGTTTTCCCATAATCTTTGTCTAATTGTTTTGTTTATTGTATGCAGCTTTGTGAATCAGCTTTGTATCTTGAGTTGTATGTGTTTTCAGTGGCTGTGTCAAGCTGATACAGAAAACAAATATTTAGGAAGTTATACTTTCCTTACATGTAATTATCCTCCTGTCCTTGTTCTAGGCGTATTCTTCCTTGCTCATGGCTACTTGTTCCCTCACTTCAGCATGCTCAATGTCTTGATAGTGCAGTTTGTCAAATTACAGGTTATACTGATTCACTTAAAAGCTGAGGACTTTTTGAGGAATTTTTTCATCAACCCTGGTCATCTTGATAATCCAGTTTAAAACTTCTCAGGGCTGTGGTCTATCAGGAGCACAGCCAGTGAGGTAGCAGAGGACTTAAGGGGAAGGGACCTCTTAAACACACCTTGCATTTGGAAAAACTGTAGTGAACCATGACTGGGAGAGTCTGGAGCATGGGCATTTAGCCAGGCAATAAAACCTATTTGCTCTCTAGATTTGAAGTGGGAATTACCTACCATGGTCATAGAGAAATGTCAATATTATTTGTTTGGGCAGCTCTTGCCACAGAGAGGTAGAAAACATAAGAAGTTGAGTGGGAGATGTATTTTGTGGTCTTCCTGATAGGTCCTTCTACCCGGTAGCTTGACTTGTAGGGAGCCGCCGATGTCTTCAAAACAGTGCAGTAGGTCTGTCCCATTCATTCTTAAAGTGTGCAGCACAATCCAAAGCATCTCCCTGTTTTGTTGTATCCTTGAACATGAAAGATGCCTAACTATTAGTGCCTTTCTGAGCTCATGATGTGTGCTATTCAAATGATATTTCTTTGATTCTGAGGTGTTATAGTCATCAAAATAATACTTCTGTGATGTGATGGCTTTTCTCCTGCCCAGGAAGTAAATTAAGCTATTTTGTGTGATTAAGTGAGGGACTTCGTGGCTGTTGCTCCTGATAGTTTAGCAAAAAAACAAAACAAACAAAACAAAACCTCCAAAATAAAACCCCGTAAGTACCACATTATTTTGGTATATTAAAACATGAATTGTAAATGCTTAGAAAACAAACGACCTGTACGCCAGATCAATCTTCTCAGGTACCTGGTTTTGTCCATTAACCTTTTCTTTTGTTTCCTTGTAGTGTAACATAATTGCAGTCTTAAAGAGTTGTGTATATTCTTCAATTGCCCTGCTTGGGCGTAAGTTAAAGCTTCTACTTACCTAGTAAATTCTGCCCACTTCTCTATAGGGTTGTTGGCCTTCCTTGAAAGTGAGAAGCTTTCTCTTTTGGTTTTGGGAGCAAGCAAGATCATCTGGCTTTGTCCAGAGCAAGCAGCCTGAGGTTTTATTTTAGCATTTAGCCTCATGATATTTTCAGTAGTTTGTTTGCATTTCTTTCTATTTTTCTGCATTTCTATTGTTGTCTAGAAAATGAGTTTAGAGAAATGCTTAATGCCTCTTTCTTCTTTTTTGCTAATGGGGTTTTATTAAAGAAGCCAGGATTTTTTCACTTTGAACAATTTTTATATATTGAACTATACAATTTTTATACTATTGAACTGACAATTCAAGATTGTAGTGACAATGTCAGAAATACATTAAAAAGATTTAGTGTTTTGATATAAAGAAAACTAAGATAAATTTCAAACTGCAGTTTTACATATCTGTTTACATACCTTTTCTTACCTCCCTGTCACTTTACTGGTATTTTTCAAATGAAACTCAGTTACACAGCTAATGAAGTGTATGTGTTTGTGGATTTGTGTGTTCTTTCAGCAATTTTCTGAAGGCTTTTTTTTTTTTTAATTATTTGTTTTGGTTTTCTTTTTTAAGGGAAGTATTTGAATATTCTAGACACTTCTTTTGTGGAAGTGTCACTGCCACATAAATGATTTTCTGATGAATCTTCATTTCTCTAACCAATTTGAATAATGGAAAGATTGTGAATTTTCTTGGAAGTGGATGGAAAATGTCTTGAAATAGTGTTAGACTTTTTTCATTTGGCTTTGTTGTCATTCTTTCATACTCGAAAATGTTAGCTGAAGTGGAGGAGCAATGGAGGGCAGAAATGCAGGAATAATGCATGTTGGAAAAGTAATATTTAAGTCTTTATTATGTGAGGGGGTGGTGTGTATAAACTCTAGAGGCTCAGAAGGAATTTTGAGTATTATGTGTATTTTTGGATTTAGCTGAATAATTGAACTTGTATACTTCTGTATTTGATATATCAGAATGCATTGAGATTTTAATAAATCTGTGTATATTTGCCATAAAAGTGGTAAAATATTGGAACAGGTTGCCCAGAAATGTTGTGGAACATCCATCCTTCAGGAGGAGCAACCAGATCGAACCAGAGCTTCTTTTAGCAGTGTTTGGCCTAGTGAACTCCAGAGATTGCTTCTAAATGTAAATATTCTTTGCTTCTGGTAGTTCAAAAGGCTGATCTGTAACATGGAATATACATCTGTTAAATTCAGAGCTTAACTGAAACAAAATTGCTTAATTCTGGGTGTAGAGCTAATGTGTGCCTGTGCTGAAACTTGAATTATTTGCAAACAACAACAATAAAAGAGCCTCTCTCCCATCCTGTTTAAAGCTTAAATACAAAATAGTTTACAAACCTTGGACAGGTGAAGAAGGACCCCACCTTGCGCTGATGAGGGTAAATACTTATTCTCTTGTGCTGTGAAATCCCACAGTTTAGAAAAATAGTCAAGGCTGTTTATCTCAAACCTAATGCTTTTTCTTTGCAAGGGTCAATAGTAAATCCTGCACTTACTCTCCTATTAGGGAAGGATCCACTTTTGGCAATTTTGCATGAAGTTAGGACCAGAGGAGTGGTATGGCATTTTCCTCACCGATGGCAAGCAGCAGCAATGGTAATGTTATTTTACAGTGAAATATGCAAGCTCTCTTGTTGAGATTAGAGGCCTATCAGGCTGGAATATAGTTTGTTCTTGTATCTTGAAGAAATATGGGGGGGTTTGTATCTTAGTTTGTAATTGTTTTATGAAGAGGGAATATCTACTGTTGCTGGTATGAATTCACGGCCAGCAGAGTGTGTGTTCCCTGCTCAAGTCATCACAGAAGGTAGATCAGATTGGCACTATAGGGACTTGGTCACGTTTGTGATTTTCTAAATGCTTTGAAGAGATGTACGGTGTGTAGTAATAACTGTTTATTCATTTATGTAGGTAGTGGAGAGTTTCACCAGGTTTTGTCAAGCCATGTCTTACAGACAACTACTTCGACAACTAAAACTGCGGGCAACGATGGCCAGGCTGAGAACCTCGAGTACATTGCTTTTGCATTGGTTCCCGTTTTCTTCATCATGGGTCTCTTGGGGATCCTCATCTGCCACATCCTTAAGAGAAAAGGGTATCGTTGCACAACAGAGGCTGAAGAAGTAGAAGAAGAAAAGCTTGATGAAAAAATAGGTAATCAATAAATCTTAATAAGCAACTTTTTATTTACTATATTATTACTATGGAGTAATGTATTGTGAGACTGCTGTTGTTCTTCTGTCCATATTAGACGTCAAAACAATGTTAAGAAAAATATTTTTATTACCATTATATATCTGTTGGGTTCTGATCTTTGCCAGTCAAAACAAGGAGTCTTTCATTTTCCAAGGTGAGTGCTCTGACATTGATGAAGAGCTCACAGAGGGATCAAAGTATCCAGAGTACTTGTTTGTGATTATACACTGCAAGTGAAGTCACGAGATTGCCCTTCTGCATTCCACTTGCTGTTACCAACAAAGTATCGCTATACATCATTCTGTTTGAGGAGTGACAAAAAGTTGCCATTTAAAACCTAAAATCTTCGTTTTATGTCTAGCAATACTAATTTGTTCCTGTTGTGCTGTCATTCACATCACTGCTGTCATTCTAGAACTGAGCCTTTGGACTGGCTGTCCACTTCTGGTTCATGTCATGTGTGCCACTTGCAAATCTTTTTTCTTAAATTTTGTTTTTGTTCTAATGTGTGTTTGTTTCTGTTCTTGTTGTTGTGGTTCTTAATATTCCCATCTGCTCTTGGTTAAAAGAAGCAAAGCGCCCCCCCTCAACAACAACAAAAGACCCAACCAAACAAGAAAAGGCTGTTATCACTTGGGGAAGACTATAGTAACCATGCAGAGCATTTGGCTTGGTGCATTCAGGGGCCAAGTCAATTGTAAATACTTTGAGCCTCCTCCTTGGTGCCGATTAGTTGTTGTGAGTAGGTTGCTGTGATAGTGCGTGCAAATGAGGGCAGGTCTGTGGTGAGGGTGGGGCTGCAGGGTGCAGCAGGGCTGTGTCAGGCTGCTCCTCAGCAGTTCCTGCCTGCCGCAGGTGCGCAGCAGTCGGGCTCTGTGATCTCTTAGCTCACCTGAATGGTAATGGGAAAGTGGGCAGTGATGGAAGGGGGGGGCAACTTTTAGGGCTCAGTTTGGGAAAGTGGCTGTGTCTCAGCTGCATTGCATAGTTGCAGGTATGAGGGTGGAGACAAAGGACTGGTAAAGAGATGGGAAAGCCCCTAATTTACTGCTTGGAGACAAATTTTAGGCTTTGCCTATTAAACTTGCCTCAATCCTGTGATTTTACTTATTTTTAGAACTAGTCATAACAATTATTAGGGAATGGCAGAGCTGTGCCTCTTCACTGTTCAGTTTCTCTTCCAAGTCTTTCTGTCGTCCGAGGTTGTTCTGTGGAAGCTTCCCGTATTGTTAATGGCTGCAGTCGATATCAAAAGTGCACTTGTGAGCTTTCTTTCTCAAACCCCTTGCTCTTGTAGTCATATGATAAATGATTTTTTTAATAAAGTAATCAAATTTTATGTCCTTGTGGTGAAAAGCTTAAACTGAATCCATCTTACATTGGAAGCTTATGCCTGTTTTAAAATAGTGACCTGAGACAGTTTAATGATTTTCATTTTGTTTATGTTTCTAATCCTAGCCATAGGGAGGAAAAAATACTGTTCTCTTGTTTGTCTCCTTTTGAGCTAGAGAAGGAAGTTTGATGTACACTTGTGAAAATATTGAGTTTATTCAAGTCCTAGATGAATATGTTGTAGATTCCTGATGTGTAGATTCCACGCACTTGTGTTTCTGTTTTTTTCCTCCATTGGGACTCAAAAGTATTGTCTAAGTTTTCTCTCCAAAGTGTCAATAGATTGTCTTTTTTTATGTAACTTTTTCTGATGTGTGTGGGTTTTGTTTTGGCTTGTTTTGTTTTGTCTTTTCTTTAAAATAAATCGGTTCTTGATTTGAAAGGCCAAGATACTGACAACATTTATTTCCTTGCACAGAAATGAATGATACTATACATGAGAATAGCGACACTGTGGGAGAAATTGTTAACATCATTATGAAAAATGAAGGTATAGTACTGTGATATTGAAGTCTTGAGCCTTTGTGATGGTGTTCTATAGCATCACACTTCAGAATATCTGAAACAATATATTTGTGTTCATGTGTTTTTGTTTAATAACATTTTTGTACATGCTTGTCTTTGAGGTTTGCCTTCAGAAGGCAATAACTTCACAAAAAAAAATAGGAAAGCATTTTGTTTACCTGAAAATTAGTTAAAATATCGAGAAGTGCATGAAGCCAACTTACAATACAAACTGTTTGGTTGCTTGATTTTTTTTGGTTCATCTTTTTGTTTGATTGTGAAGTAAAACCTCAAGGTTGTTTTCTCTTGATGACAGTGTTTAAAGGATGTGATATTTGTATGTTGTCCAGATTAAATTTTTTGTCTTGAAACCATTTTTGCAGCCGTTGTCTCAAGAAAGTCTGCTAACTGAGACAATGAGGTAGACAAGTGCTAACAGTGAATTTTGGTCACGTTATCTTTATGCACTGTGTCTGCAAAGTAAAGGATAAAGAAGATTATGACTGAAAAAAATAATCATACAATGCTTGCTTAGTTCAGAACACATTTGCCTAGTAGAAGAAACATTTGGGAGACCGGATGTTTTTACAGTACATGAACCTTTTAGTGTTACATTTGTATAAACGGAGGTTCTCCTAAGCATTGTACTTGCTTTGAGTTACTTCTGAATGAAGACTAGGCCTCTGGAAAAGTTGTATGGTTGGGCTGGGTTTGTTGGTTTGTTTTTTCTCTTTAATAACTGTTAGGGTTTTGAGCTTGTGTATTTTTCGTCAAGGCTGGGATTAGGTATCCCATGTGTCTTTAAAAATATGTGAGCAATCAGTAGTTCTTGGCTGATAATATTAATTTTGTAAGGCTCATTTAGATTGGTGTTCTTAATCATAAGCTGCTTTGTGCGTGTGAGTTAATGATACTCCTGTGGTCAAATGGCTGTTTCAGAATTTGCAGAGATCTTGTTTGGAAGCGCTGTGCAGATGGCTGAGTGCTATGGCTTGTCTTGTGGCTAAGCTTGGACTGCAAAATGAACTGTAATTCATTAGCTCATGTTAAGGAAATCCCATAGAATGATATTAACTTTTTTTTTTCCATCATTTTCTGTCTTGCCTTTTTGGAGATATAAATAATACAGTCATCTTTCTTTCAGATGAAATTTCTTTGAGGAACTTGAATTTTGCTGTTTGTTTTTCTGAAGCTAGAGCTGTACACTTTTGAAAAATTCTATTTATTCTCATTGCAGCAAATGCTGATGTGTTAAAGGCCATGGTAGCAGATAGCAGTGTCTTTGAGCCTGAAAGGTAATTACCTGTCTTTTTAATGCATGCTTCCCGAGGCAACTAAAAGCATAGCCTTTCAAAGGGTTATTTCCTGGGTTACCAGTGAAGAGCCTAATACCTCGATTTCCTTGTGGTGTCTCTTGAGTCACTCACTTTTTTAATGTAAGCCTTGGGTTAGTAACTGCCTCTTCTGGTTATGTGTTCTAGGTGTGTAGCACAGATTTACTGCTTTTGGGGCTTAAGTTTTACAGAGCCTGCAAATACTTGTTTACTTTAAGTTGAAGTTACTTAGAAGTTGGCTCAGTCTAAAGCTACGTTGTCTTCAAAGAACAGAAACAACACTTGTTTCCTTTGTGTGGATGCTAACTTAGACATTTCTTTCTGTGTCTCCTAGTTCACTTTTTTCCTGTATAATTGTGCAAATAATATACATTGACTGGCCTACCTCTTACTTATTTTTTTCCTACATGTCTGTTTAGAGAATTATGTAGAGCAAGTTCAGCCCTTGAGTTGCAGATGCATCGTTTGTGTAAAAGTACTTATACCTTTACAGAAGTCATTTTTTAAACCATATCTTTACTACTCTACTCTTTATACAAAATCCCATGTCCATATTCAAGGCAGAGAAGATCAAGTATTAGTGTGTCACTGATAAAAGAAGTGTGAGTGTGGTTTTACCAAAACAAATAGCTGAGTATGCAACTGCTTATCTCCTGTTTTAATGGTGAGAGGCTTGCTTATTAAACTCCTTTAATAAGTTCAATTTCTTGTTTTTTCTGAAGTATAGGGACTATTTTAAACTTACATTGTGCAGCAGAAATGTTTGAATTTTAATCTAATAATTTTGTGTAGGGATGTGTGATGTTGGGAGTTTTAGGCTATTCAGTGGTGAATTCAAATATAAAAGTAAGAGGAAGGGAGAAATGAATATTTGCTTTAAATTCTGCCAGATATTCCTAAAGCTAATTATTCAAGTGCATATCCACTGTTTTTCTTTCTAAATTTGGTGTGCTATGACACACTTCCTAACAATAGTAACGACGAAATAAAATGTGCCCTTCTGCCCCTAAAAGCCATCAGTTCCTGTCTTTGCTTCAGATGTTGGACAGGTTTTATTTCCTTTATAGCATTCTCTTACTTATTTGAAAACTATTAAATGTCTCCTGTCAGTACTTTTGTTTTAAAAGTAAGCATCCAGGTTGCTGCAGTTTTTATGGCATGTTTTGTTTTTAATTTGGTATTTCTGTTCTCCTTTGGAGTTTCTTCAGTTTGTTAGGATTTTGTTTGAAATAACATTTCTAAAACTGAATGGAACGTTTAGCTGAGACACAATTAATACCATGAGATGTAACTTCAGGTTCACAGATTATACTCACCTTGTTTCCACAGTGAAATTTCATTTTTTTTTTTTAAGTAAGAACATTGTAATGATTCGTGCTCGTCTTGTGATCTTCACCTTTTTTTTTGAAGACTGATCATCAGGCTAGTTGCTTTTTAATCAGGGTTTGTAAAGTTTTTCTGCTAAAGCACTGAAATTTGTCATTACTGCAATACACCTGGTGTTTTTAATGAGGCTTATGTATGTTTGAAGGTGTCTTTCACACATGCTCTCCTCTGATAATCCTAATTTCTCATCTTGTCCTCTACAAGTGACCCAAAGTTTGTGGGTAGTTTAGTTATTCTTCTAATCCATTACCCAAGGAACTGTTTAAAGCATCGAGTATTAACAGGACCAGAACAACCACATTTAGCCTGTCTCTCCAGTTTCATAGTAAGCTACTGATTTATAACTTTCTGGTATGTCTTTGTTTTGTTTGTTTTTGACAAGGTGTGCTACCTTACGCTACAGTAATTTCACCTTTAATGCACTGAGGTCTAGCTTGCTTCAGGAGAATGTGTTGCAAGACGGTTTCAAAATTGATGCTGAAGTCCAAAAAAAAGTACATCTTGTGTTTTACATCTATGCTGTCTGCTTTTATGGTTTTTGAAAGAAAATTAGATCGATTTTATTGGATATTCTCAATAAAAGCTTTTTCGTGTTTGTACTACTTTTTTTTTTTCCTTCTAGGTTCTTAAAATTATTTTCCTGAAGTTTAAGCTAAATGATCTGTTTATTTCTCTTCTCTTTATGGTAGAAATTTTAGTTTTGCCTCTTTGTAGTATTCTGAGACTATGCTCTTCTTCTGTGGGTTCTTAAAGATACTGTCACAGTTTTGAAATGCTCTCTGTAGTTCTCCAGAGTGTGAATTTAATCAGTTACTTGCGTGTCTTCATCAGTATAAGTTCATGTCACATGTTCTCTTATATTTTAGCCCGACTCTGATGGGTTTTGTTTTTCATTTCCTTATCCTTTGTGTTAGTTACCTTAATGATAAGCCTGCAGCTGAATTAATTTACAGAAGTTATTTTAACCATAAAAATATGACAACAGAAGGAACCTTAAACCATGCACCCTCACATATAAATGGTTCCTGAAAAACTAGATATTCACTAGATGTAACTGAAGATTATATTAGGATTTTATAGTAAACATTAAATTTCCTTTATACTTTTTTTTTTTATTTCTACAGCCCTTTATCTCCTACCTCTCCTGGGAGTCCAACGAGTCCAGGCTCTCCTTTGTCACCTGGTGCTGTTCCATTTAAACACAACTGCAAAGGCCATCACTTCCATACTGTTGGAGGAGTAGTAGAAAAAGATGTGTGTACTCGTTGTAGCCACAAAAGATGGCATCTTATAAAGCCAGCTCACAAGTCTAAAGAGCACAGAAGAAGTCGTCTTGGAGAAGTTACAGTCCTTTCTGTGGGAAGGTAAGACTTAGGTCATTTTATTGTATCCTTTTCTCAGGGATGCAAGATGGATGCCCATCAGATGGGCCCAATGGATCAGATATCCATTTATTCTACTGTGTTTGTAGCATCAGTGATTGTTTTTTGTAACCCTGTTACCATTAGACCCAAGTTATTTCTGGAAGAAGTAAATGCGATTTTTCTTTTATTTATTTTAGAACTATGTAAATAGATGGGGATTTACTTGGGTGTAAATTCCAAGCTATTGCTCTTTTTATCCTGGCTAAAATGAAACAAGGATTGCACACTAATAAATTCCTCTGATAATTTCTGAATTTGCTATTTCTCAAGTAAGTGTTAGTCATAGAAACTTCATTCTGGTTTGTTACTTCTAATTCCTAGCTCACACTGTAGTTTCAGAAAATAACTTTCCTGAGTAGTGTGCAATCTGTGAATTATGCTTTAAAATGCATTTCCTGAAAAAGTATGATTCAGTAGTAGTGAGTATTAAAAGTACATGTAGGTAATAGTTAGGAAGATTGCTCTGAAGTGAAGCTGGGTCCGTGTGGGCGTCTGCTCCAATATTTAGTTCTCGGGACCTGGAAATGTGTTCCTGTCCATACACGGTGTACTGAGAATGATCTAACTCATCTCTGGGGAAATACAACTGAATCTTTCTTTTGCTTACCCCAGATTTAGGGTCACAAAAGTGGAGCACAAATCAAATTCCAAAGAACGGAAAAGCCTGATGTCTGTGAGCGGTGTGGAGAGCATCAGCGGCGACACGGCTGTCCCACCTGCCAAGGAGGAAGAGAGCGAAGCGCCTGCTGCGCCGGGGGGGCAGGAGGGGAGGAGCTCAGAGTAAACTGCAGGTAGCAAACACTGGGGACTCACATTGAAAGTGTTACGTTGTGAAGTAAGTTAGAGTCATCGGTAAAGAAAAAGGAAGTTGGAAATGTACCAGCCGTGTCTGAAAACTCATCTTTCCTTTTCAAAAATTTCAGCAGAAGCCTGCAAAAAGGATATTTGATCGCTCGGCTAACGATAAATTTGTAAAGGTTGAGTTATCCGCCAAGTTCATATCTGATCGATTATTTAGGTTTTGTAATTAGAGCAGATGTTTAAATGAAAACTCTCTTATGGAGGTGGCATCAGTGGTCCAATAAATAAAACATCTGCATATTAATTTTTGGCAATAAATGATGGTTCAGATTTAGTGGCAATGTGCTTAGTACCCAAAAGAAGCGAAGGCTGCCAACAGCTGCATCACTGGAACAACAACAGTGCTGCTTCCAGTGCTTGCTGCCCTGTACTGTGAGCCTGTATAAGGTAGCTGCTTGCTAGATACTTCTCTGATCTATCCATGCAGCTTTGGCTAACAAAAGTGAAGACACATGAGAACAATCATTTTGCAGGGATCTGTGGTAGGTTACTAAGCCAGGAGGTTACTTTTGAGTCATTTAAAGTTGGGTGAATTGCTGGTGGTACCCCATGAAGCGTGTCAAAAACATGTTCAGGATGGTTTTGGAATGCATACCGACTACTTCTGTTTGTTAGTTTTTGATGTAGGTTTGTTGGGTTTTTTTTCCTTTAACAGTTAAGAATGTTGGGGAGGGGAACCCTGTAAGTTGGTAAGGTTTGCTCCTAACTGATGACATGCTGGTTGATAATCTGAAGGGGAAAGCTGCTTTGACTCAAATGTGATTCAAAATACAGAGCTTGACCCTTGGAGAGGTTTCTGGGGCACTGAATAAAGGCACTGAATTTGAAGAAAGTGAACAAAGTGCACAGTGCCAAACTCACAGTATGCTGAGAGAGAGGATAAAGCTATGTTGTATCAACTCAGCACAGTTTCAAACTCTGGATAAGTCCAACAAATGTGAAAGGGAAATGCACAAGTAGGTCCCTTCCAACCTAAAGGATTCTATGATTCTAAGTGGAAATTGGGCATGTTTAAAAATGTAACAAGACCCAAAACCCCGTGAGTGTCTTGAGGTTAAATGTGCAAGATGTGGCCTCTTGTTTATACCAATTGTTTACTCCTTAAAAAACATTCTGTACTTGTATCAGTTTAGAAAGGACAAAGTAGAGAGCAGGGATGCAATGGGACACTTCCTCCCAGTCTTTACTGGCAGCACAGGCATGACTGTTGAGCTAAGCAGAGTGTATTTGTCTTGACTCTGCCTCATCATTAAATTATACCAAATTTTTTGTATTATTACCATAGAGGAAGACAGACTTAGTGTATGCTTTCAAATGTTTAAAAAGCTGTGAAGAGTAATGGAGTAAATTGTTCTTTATGGTCAGTGGATAAGAAGGTACATAGCAGGTTAATTCGCAGTAGGAGGTGGAGTTCAGGCTTGAAAAATTAAGAAGCTGGAATAAGCTGTTGTATCTTTATTGCTGAACTTCTGTAAGACAAGGATGGTCAAATCCTTGTCAAAGCCAGTGTAAACAGAGCTAGTCCTGGCTGGGAGATCTGTGATAGGCTGTAAAAGATGGTTGAATTTTTGTTTTGCTCAGTGGCATGTTTTGGGCAATCATAGCTTTCTCGTGGCAGCTGCCTCATTGCTGTGCTGTAATCTGAAGGATCTACAAATGGCAGTGAAAACCAAACTTCATTCTTATTTGCCGATTGACAATTATGTCTTGGTGCTCAGGAGTTTTTTTTAGTTAGTGTGGTTTCTTTTTCCTCTATTCCCTTTTTAAAAATCACTATTAGCTAAATGCAATAGGAGAACCTCTTGCTTCACTGGCTGCACAGGCATTCTCAAGGCCAGCTCATCAGTTTGTTACTCCTGTGACAAATTTTTTCTTCTACAGCTCTAATGGTGGCATGATCAGACTGTTCTTAATGTGATTTTTTACTTAAAGGCAAACTAGTTTTCTTTCAATGCTAGAAATCTAAAGAAAAGGACTTACATGAAAATAAAGTTTATTCCAGTGCACTTTGATTTAAAAAAAATAGTTTGTAATTACTCTGACAATGTTTTGTAGTTCAGTTTTCCAATTTTTTCTGTCCTCTCCTAAGTAATAGTGCTATTGCCTGTAATTACCTAGAATTGTCTTCTGAATTTAAAACATTACTACTTTAATCTAAAAATAAGCTGTTCTCTAGAGAGATATGATAGTATAGCTATAAAAAAACCTTAAAAGTCCATCTGTGGCAGCCTTTTATTGTAGAACTTCCCATAGGATTAATGTGCTGCCCTTTCTGAAAGTAAATGTTTTAATAGCAGAGAAGTGGCTCCACAGAATCTCTTGTAAAGGTCTCTTTAGTCCAACAGAACTGTTTTATAAATCATTTGGGAAACCAGCCAAACCTGTTTGAAGTGCACTACAAAAAAATAAACGTTCTGCTTGAAAGACTATGATAGTGTTCTCTGGTGTGGTTCTAGACCAGTTTTTGTCCACTGCCATGAAAAGCTGTTTAACAATAAAGAGTTAGTAGCTAGACCTTTACTTCAGTTACTTCAGACTTCTAATACATTATTGTAGCTTAATTTACTGAAACTGGACAGATAAGCAGCATTTAAGACTTCTGTGCCTCTAGCCAATAAGTGATGATAGAAATCATATAGCTCTGGAGAATTTAGCTCAGATCTTCAGATGCAGAGGAAGAAGGCAGACACAAATGTGTTTGACTGCTGTCAGAAGAGGTTTCTTCTGGCATTTGGCAGCAGTATATTTGTGCTTTGTGGCCTGACTTTACCTGCTGTTACTGAGAGTTCTGTGTGGGATGGAATTCCCGACCTGGGCAGTACTTGAATGACATAATATTGCTGCTTGCTTGTGTTCATTGCTACTCTCAAGTTAGGGTTGTGTTTTTATTTCCCTAAGCTGACATGCCCTTAGTATTTTCCTGAAGTGACCTCAGCTTATCCTAGTGTCTTGCAGACTGCATCATTTGAAGTTGTAGCATGTCTTCTCCATGTCTCCAAGCTCCATGTTCTCAGCAGACTCTATTTCATGTGTTAAATTTATTTAAAATATGCTTAGGAGCACATAAAGTAGTAGATAGCTGCTACTTGAAGTAAAAATTTTGAGTTGAGCTATTGCACATCTGTTGTAAGTACTGGCTAAACAAAAGCGTAAGGTATTGCTGCACTGAAGCTGCAACATTTTCCATTCCTAGGATCCCTTTCAAAGCTGTGTGTGCTTTGCACTGTGGGATGGGATTCGTCAGTTTGCCCATGTGTTTGTCCATCCTTTTCACTAGTACCAGCTGAGCTTTTAGTTTGTTTCCTTTAGGTTTTCACATGCTACACTTGCAATGCAGGGCAACCGCTTCATATCGTTGTGGCATTTTTTTTTTCTCCATTTTAGGAGCATCTGTGAACTTTTTAATTGTTGTGTTCATCCTAAAACAAATTTTGCTACTTAGGCTTATTTTTACAGTTGTTTTCTTTTCTTGCAGGTGGAACTTTTAGAAGAATCTTGTCTGCTAGCACTTTGGCAAAAACTGAAAACTCCCAAGAGATGCTTACTATTTAAGGATATGTATTTATGGCTCTGTAGCATTTTACAAGTTCTGTGGTGGCATCCATGCAAGGTTAAACACTTGATGGTTTTTCACCAGTAATATCAGTAAGATTTACACACTTAAACTGTTGAGCTGAGTGGACCTCATACCAAATCTTTGGCTTTATCTTGGAAAATAAAAGCACAAGTTTTTGGATAGGAATGTTAAAAGCCTTATCAAGTAATCTTAAGTTTTTGTACTTAAACGAGCATTTTTAACAAGCTAAATATTACAAATAATATGATTACCCAATGGATAAACTGTGTTCATTCCTCTGGTCCATCTGGATTTTTCTCCTCTGTTCTTCCCCTCCAGAACGGAGAAGTTGGCTGAAGATAAAAGCCGTCCTTTGGAGAATCAAAATATTCTTTTTATCTGACTGCTAGTAGCCAAGCAAAACATAAAAGGAAATAATTACACCAGCCAAAATCTGCATGTGCCTTTTAGTACATAAGCTCTCAGACTATGTGAAGGGTACTTCACAGTACAGAGTGGTCCAGCTATCTGCAGATAATAAATGAAATTGTTCTCTTCCCCCACCTTTACCCTTCCCCTCACTACTAGACATGTGGTGAAGAGCATCTTTTTTCTATGCAGTTAAGTGAGCTCTTGGGAAGGCTGCTTTCCTCAAGGCCACTTGTTCTCCTGTTTTCTTGTAACTACTGACTTGTAGTTCAAGGATTCCTAATACTTTTGCTTTTCTCTTTTGTTTTGACTCACAGTTCCTTATTATGCTAAGGCAGCATATTTCAACCATTAGTTAAGGATATGGAATATTTTCTTATGAAAAGCTTATGGACTATGTACTAAAATACTTCAGAGTGGCTTTATTGGACTGAGAATAGCTCTTCTCATTGGTACCAAAATCTTAAGCCACTGTCACTCCCTTCGTATTTTAAGTGCGTCATACTGATAAAAATACAAGTGATGAATTTGTGATGTTAATTCTTTGTGTCTACTTACCATGCTTTGTCCTGCCACTTGTTTTTGGGAGGGAGATCTTTGCAATACTTCAGCAAACTGCAGTGTAAAAGAGACTGGAAAAATAACATCTGTTCTGAGTGCCTAGGAATATAAGCTCTGACGTAATATGTTGTACTCAAGAGTGCACTATATTCTGAGAAGTACAAAGTAACTTAACCTGCTTTAAGAACTCAGTGAAAAATCAGCATTTGTTTTGGAATCAATTTCTTTTAAATTAATACTTTGAATCCTTTTAGTCCAAGTGCTCTAAACTCTGTTTCTCCTTCAGATCTAAGAGTAGGGTTCCTTTGTCAGTTCACACAGTGTTAACAGTCTGTCCACAGATAAAAATTAATCTTCTTGCTTATGTATTAGATATT